TATAGTTTGCTAGGTCACTTCACTAGGACAGGGAGTGAACAGCCAGACCACTAACATGACCAATGTTGTCAGTGGGCTTTAAGTTTTTAAAGTTAGCAGTGTCACAATCCATCCGTAGATTACGCAGGAGATTACACAGGATTATTTTACATGAGCCCCTAAAAAAATAAACCCACTCGCTTTTTTCAAATAATATCAATATTTCTTTTTCAATCTATTTAACAAATGCACTGAATTAGCCTAAGGTGACTTTTTAGGGCAAGGCGATATGTTGTAGGGGAGAGCTAACTGCAGACTGACTTAGTATATTATTACTTAAATTAGTTGACAGACAGATGGTGTCTTTTAAATGTGGCTTTGACAGCTCCAATAATCAAGCTTTGCTTTTTAACCCTTATGAGGAAAATAATCTGATTTTGTGGTTGAAATTCAGACTTGAGATTCACTGTCTTGCATGCTAATATAAATTGGGCCACCCTGTTAATGTATATAATTATCAGGAGGAACATGCTGATGCATGCCTATGTACATCACAGAAACGCAACAGAAGTTACGTCTAAATGAATGCTGCCAGATTTTTCTTGATTTAGAAAAAATTTTCTTGACTTTTTCTCTTTTTCTGATTAAATTTAATACTCCCTTTATAAGCTAAAATTCTAGATTACGGTGTCGGAATCCCTTTTTTGTCTTGGGTAAACATTGTCCTATGCAACGAGCCTTGGCTTTCCAAAAGTCATTGTTGCTCATTTTTGTTTAAACTTTAAGCTGTTTGCTTGTTTGTAGCTTTTGTACTTTTCAAAAAATGTTAGTCAATTGCCAACACAAAAAAAATATATTCTTATTGTAAGCTACAACCTTTGACACAATTAAATTTTTTTACGTTTGGTTGTTATAATTTAATCACCAAGCTGTAGACATTCTCATCCTTCAAAACAAATTTACTTACAAGTTTAAGTAAAAAAAAAAAGTGCAAAACCAGTGCATTTTTATATATTTACATATAATCTGCCTTTTGCTTCAGTCTGTTGTCTCATGATCACCACATAGTGCCAAAAGTGGGGCTTAGAAACAGAAATTCTGGCTCTGTGCCTGCAAAAAAAAATTCAGTTCAAAGAGATTACCCACAACACTGCAGGGCGAGCTCTGACCCTCAGGGTGGGAGCTCAGCTTTTAGCACAGAGGAGACATGAGTCACGACACACTGCCAGGCAGTGTTAATGGACGTCCTGCATCGGTATTCTGACCTGCAGAGATTGTCTAAAAATACATCTGCAAAATGTAACAGAGGCTTTTTCTTGTTTATGCAATTGTTCAATCTCAATAACGCTAAAGCTTTCATTTTAATCCAGCCGTTATATAACAGGAGCTCTCATTCTCCAACACGTTTTAGTCTCTGTTGGGGAATTATGCAAGTGATGAATTAAGCGTGATTTATAAGGGTGTTTATGTTCATTTTGCAATATCATACAAAGGTTTAAGTGGACATGCTGCATGGATGTAAAGCTAACATGCTAAATTGACAAACACTGTGTAAAAATATCATCTAATGAATCGTTTTGAACCATGAAGCTAAATATTTACTTTATTCCATTCTCAACATTACAACCCTCATGATAATCCCCACCCAGAAGTGTTCACACCCCTTGAAGTTGATCATGTTTTTAATTAGATAGACTAGCAGTAAAGTAGAGAGACCATAAAAGATGGATTTCAAAAGAAAAAAAATCCACACTTCTTCCAATATACTTAACAGTGTGCTGTCTGTTCACTCTCACCTTTCTAGTATGGAACAATGAAAAAAAAAGAGCAAAATCCCTTTAGGGGTTTTTAAAAAGGCAGCATTTGTATAATTTAATCTTATAGTATCAATCTAGTCGTTCTCAGAAAGCCCAGGATGTTTGTTAAAAAACATAAGTGAACAAACAGCATCATAAAAACCAAGGAACAATAGACAGATGTATGTGTAACAATAATATTATAGATTATAGACAAACAGAGAAGAGGCTGGTGTCAACTGCAGATGACTGAATGATTTCCTGAGGTCAGGAGGGAGAATCTGTAAGCTGTTTACCCAACAAATATAGACTTTATGGAAGAGTGCCGAAGAGCAAATCAATTCTTTGAAACATACTGAGTCAATTTTTTTCAGTTTGTCATGTAGAGCAGGTAGAGTACACATACCCTTAGTGGTCCATGGGTGCTTTCCATGGTTCATGAAAATATTTAATCTGCTAGGTAGTAAAATAAAATAGGGCTGGCACATGAAAAATAAAAAAAAACTTTTATCAACCAAAAAGTTTTGCTTTTTTTTCTTATATTTTTAAGTTCACCAAAATGAGGCAGAAGAACAAACTGGAAGTAGAGAACATCCTGGTATCAGCTGTTTTTCATACTGACCTATCAGAGCTGGTGTCTGGATAAAAAACAAAGTAAAACTGAACAAGTAAGTTTAATTGTAATTTTTGTTCTGTATTTTGTTCCCAATTTATCAAGTTTAAAGGTGATTATAGGGGAGTTACTCAGAGGAGCTCCAGTTTATAAATACAGGTTTGTAATATGATTTTATTTCGTATCTATTATGATTCCTTACTCACTTCCAAGCAACATACTAATTGTTTTTTTATTTGACATGGAAAGAATAAACTCCTAAGAATTAAATGCTAAGGTTAAAAGATTTAGTAAAATAGTTGTTGTTTAATAATTAGTCATTGTATGTCCACTTTTGGACAATCATCAATACATTTGACTGAGAAGGTTACTCATGGTAAGCCAAAATCTCAAAGGGGTAAACAAGTGCACAGCTGCACCCTAAATGCACAAGGAAACGTTGTCAAAGATCCTTCCTCCCAGTTACTGTAAGACATTATAACCACCACGGTTCCAAACAACATCAATATGTTGCTACATTGATACTGATTTTTGCACAGTTTCTGTCTTAGTCAGTGAAATAAAATACTGCTGTCATTTTTTCACATCTCTGATGTTTGCTGCTATTTTTCATATATCCTCACACACATATCCACTACATTAAAAATGTCTGTTTATTGATTATTATTCTCCAGATACATAGTATATATTGTAAAAACATTGTACAGTACAGTACAGTATTTTTTTTTCTTTTAATTTACTTATTCTGTTATTTTTATACACTTTTCTAAGGTCCACATTGTGTGACAACTTCTGCTATAACCTTTTGGTGCTGCTGTAACACCACAATTTCCCTATTGTGGGACAATAAAGGGATTTTCTATTCTATTCTTTATACCAATGCCCATTAACCTGGTATACTCCACTTCTCCTGCCATGGGGAAGCTGACCTTATCAGATTCTTAATTGTCAAAAGAATAAAAAACATAACAAAAAACTTATAATATTTCCCTTCACTCTTTAATTAGTCATGTTTTCTATCACATTAAATCAAATTACAGTATAGTGTAGTTTGTGTGTGTAATGTGACAGAATGTAAAAAGGCATTAAATGCATGTAGAGGCAGTGCATCAACAAGCATTGTGTAAAACATAATCAAAATGACATGAGTACAACAAAACAAAGCAAATGGAGTACACTGAATTACTTGTTGATTCGGCTTATTTATGTACATTTGTCCTCTGCACAGAACAACTGAAATAAAGTTAGCTGCCTGGAAAAAAACATTATTCTCCTTAAGCAAGAAGGAAAATAATGAAGCTATTGGAGCGAAGCGCATCATAAATTACAGCACATTTGCTTCAAGGGCCGGAGAAAGGTGCTCTGATGTTCATATAATTAACAGCAGGGTGCTTTGCCTGTGATACATTCTGAACGATTAATGGTGACAAAGGAAGCATGCCTGGAGAACTGGAGAGGTATTTAGTTTTTTCTGGATCTTAATGACCAATACAGGTGGATCTTTTGGTGAGGGAACTTTTTATATATATCACTAGGGCTGGATAAAAAAATCGATTTAATTGATTTTGAATAGATTCCTGTACATTTTTGCAAAATCGATGTCTAGGAAATGAGAACGATTAATTTTATAGTCACACGTGACGTTCACATTCAAATGAGCAGGAAAGATGCACTCAAGATTACTTCAAGCTGCAAATATAGCCAATAGGTTGACTGAAGACATTAACAAATGGGGGCTGACCAGCAAACACCCTGTAGTTCTTACAGACAACGCTGCAGCTCATGCAGCTCACACTTCTGCCGTGTCCCCTCTGTGTCACGTCTGCTCGCTCGAGTAAGGCTTCACTTTTCACAAATAAGTCTGCACTTTTGAGACAGTTTTGTTCACATCTCAAGTTTAAACTGTCTGATTTACAAGTTTGCACTTAGTGTTTAATATGGCAGGAGAAAATAAAATACAGGAGCATTTTTAAACACAGTTGAACCACTTTCATTATTGTAAAAACAGATCAAATCGAAATTAATCGATTTAGAACCCTATGAATCAAAATCAAATCGATTCAGGACTTTGGCAAAAATACCCAGCCCTATATATCACTCTGTGCTTTAGAAAATGTAAACGAGGAAAGCTCATACTTTAAATTTCAGTAAAAAGGAGAAAATACATAAAAATGTTTTAAAGGGCTTTGAATCATCTTTACATCCTTCAGAGTTTACATATTTAAACATGGTGTACACAAGGGAGCTCTATAAAGAAAAAAAAGAAATCCCTCTTTGGAAAAAGAAAAACAGTGGACAGATTTTAATTGCTTGGAAAATCCAACTGCATGCATTGTGTGGCTAATTAAGCTGTACAATCAAGTCACATTAAGAAAAGTGCTCTGCTACTCATACCAATCCCTGTGGAGCACTTTCATGCAGGAATACAGTTATATTCTCTACAACAGCCTATGTGATTGGATAAGTCGATGTTCTCTGCACAGATCAGCCAACACCTTTTTATGCTTGCATTGTATTTTACTTTTAATCTCATAGATGTCAACTTACCTTGACAATAAACTGCATAGATGTTCTCTCATCTGGCTGGTAGGTGATGAAGTAGAGGACGAACCCAACGACAGAAACTAAACAAAGCTGCAACAGCAAGAAAATATATAAAAAGTTATTCAGTCAGGTAAAAAAATCTGCATTTAAAAAAGGTGTGGTTATCATTTCAACAATGTAAAGTTCTTTAATATGGTATTATTTATTGCCATTGTATATTGCATTAGAGGCAAGGTAACGTATAAATACGGAAAAAAAACAATTAACTCCTCTTTATTTGCCTAATAATACTGTATGATTCAGCAGTAATCAGCTGTCTGATTTCATTACTTTGCTTTTCTCCTTTCTTTTCTGACAACACACACACACACAACACACAGAGACTCGCACTCTATCTCTTCAGTGCAATTGGAGTCTTGTGACCGACGTGCAGCATCATATTTGAATGTTTTTCCCAGGTTCTTAAGCACCCAGGATTCTCTGGAAAGTTCTCGATGACCTCAATGTTTTTCACTCTGCTGAATCTCGTGAGGATCTAACTCGGGATGTTGGTGTCGAGGGATGTTTTCCAGAGCCGATGGCATCTGTGATAGGCCGAATAACAGCACAAAACGGGAAAAACATGTTTGTGTGACCCTGAGGCCTTATGAAAACTCTACCTATTCAAGCTTTTTTTTTTTTTTTTACGTTTTCACATTTTTTAACATTTCAGCACCAGAACTTAATGTCTTTTCATGAGATGTATTTTTATAAATCAGAAAAAAAGGTGCATACTACATAAAAAATATTGATGCAAACCATGATTCGAAATAAAGGTGGGATGGAAAATGCAAAATAGGGAAACTTTAATGATACTTTACTGGAGTTTTGGTGGTTTTTCAAGGCAAGCCTTACACAAATACATATGATTTGAAAAAAAAATTACTGTGGATGGAAGGTTTCTATCTATATCAGATTATATGGAATAAGCAGCTTTTGTAGAGAGAGAGAGCTGTTTTTTATTTCAGATTTCTAGAAAAATCTAAGTGTGTGGAGCATCTTTTCACAGCAGCCAGTTCTCTGCTGTTGGTTTTAGCCAGCAGAAGTAAAAAAAAAAAAAACATCTGGACCTACCCCCCACCTTGGTCCTTGCAAGTCCCCCAGGGAGCCCTAACCCATGGACCAGGTCAATGTGACACATATATGTAAATACAGTTTGCCACCTATTCCATTGCAGTGCTGCTTATGTTCAGGTTTGTTTCCCTGCTGTGGAAGGTGAAGAAAGCTAACATTAACATGCTGTGTTGGTGGAGGTGTCATGAAGCCCCACAGGCATAATACTACCTCCACCATGCAACACAGCTCTGTGTTCAATGAAATTTACATCTAGGTTGACCCCACCACATTTCTTTCCCCTTGCAATTCTTCCATGAATATTACATTTTGGTGGAGTGCAGGACAAATAGTTATTGATACCAAACTGACTTTCCACCCTGAGCTATAATTATTTCCTATTGGGCTCCAGGTTGCTTCTCTGATGGAAGCTCTTGCAGAGTTTTCGGTGGACAGTCTTACTGTCTTTTTAACTCAAAATGGGTGGAAATTATTGTTTTATAACTCAACACTGCTTCTGTTTCTCCAGAATGTTATCCCTGATTACTGATGTCCCTTTTTAAACCTCTTAGTTGACCGAATATGGGAAAAATACAACATTTTCAGAGGTTTTGATTTTGATGTTTAAAATATATATGAAAAATTGGCATAATTCTGGTTACATTAAAACAGCAGGGCTATCCATTCTAATGCTTGTAACATTAAACAAAAGGTATTTGTGATATGTGTGGAAATCTAAAGAAAAAAACTAAACCAAAGTAGCGCAAAAATAAGAAAAAAAAAAAAAAAACTTCTGCGTTGCAGCAAAAATGCTTGATTTTATTTCTGCTTTCAAGTTTGCAAATATGCAGATGAAGGACTGAAAACATATTGACACCAAATAACTGCAGGGTTTCAGATGCTGCTAATGTGCTCATGAGGTGGCTGGAAGACAGTACCCTGGAATTGGATGGTTTGGCTCACCTCCCAGGATTCTTAAAGCTCCTTGAGCTTCAAATGCAAACAACAGAACATGCAGAATCATGCTGCTGAGAGGGATCAGAGGCTTATGGATATGCATTCAGACAGGTTCATTTCAATGTAAGTCTGCGGTCGCCCTGCCAAGGGTGTTGGGAGACAATGTCGCCATGAATTGTGGGTCATGCAATATAAAATATGGGATATTCATGTTCCATGCAAACAAGTAGCTTATAGAGGAGGATGCAGTCAGAGCTTACAGTGATCCCAGCCCAGTGTGGAGTCTCCCGGGCTATGAGTGAGGAGCTGATGGCCAACATGAGGAAGGCCACGGCTGTGACAGCCACTCCTAGCAGCAGCTGCAGCAGGGCGACGAGCAGAGGGAAACGACAGACTCTGCACCTTTTACCGTCCTCTGGTGCTGGGCTGGCATCTCTATTCTTGTGGCTCTGTTTGTTGTCAGAGGAACGTTTCTGTCCCTGTCCCATTTTTCCTCCTGCTTTAACACTCTTTCCCTGTTTGAGACTTTTTTTCTGTTCAGTGTTTGAGGTGGATGTGCCTCTCTGTTGCTTCCCCTCCCTTCCCCTCCCCGTCTGCCTTTACCAAGCCCAGCTAAGCTGCTATTTGAAAACAGAGAAGGCTCTGAACTAATATGGAAAACATTTGGACTGGATTCCCACACCGGCTCCCAAGCCACATATAGAACAGGCAACATGCTGAGGGGGGAAGGAAGAGGAGGAAAGGGGGAGGCAGTGAGAGGCAAAGGGGGCTTCCAACACACGACACAGAGGAGGTTTCTAAGGATAACACAGGGAAAGTACAGGGGAAATCAGCAGGTATGAGTTAATAAAAAGCCAAGAGAGAGAGGAGGTCATACTTGGTTAAACAGCAGCAGTGACTGTATCACTCTTTGTGTCAGCCTTGTTACACAAGAGCCATATGCTGCCAGCCAGAAAACAGTCACATGACTAACAGGAGAAGTAATGTGATCACCAGGCATGTGAGGGCATTACAAAGGCTCAGAAATGAATACCTAAATGTACAAAAGAGTAGCAAGTGTCTCTGATATAAGGTCCCACAGGCCATAATGAATGCAACTTACTGCAAACTGTGTTATTTAAATGGCGTAGAAAGAAAGTGACTAAGAGATTAACAAAGAAGCACAAAGCTAAGCACGTGTTTGTGCACACAGCTGGGCCGCTGCCATGGTTACTGACAACGCAGCTCGGGAGGACAACCCTGCAGGTGCGCACAACAACAAGCTGCACACACTTAACTCCTACAGATCACACAGAGATCAGGCACAACATTATGACCACTGACAGGTGGGCTGTTCCCTCTGCAGTTTTCAGTATCTTTAGAAAGAGATCCAAGTAAATACTTTTGATGAAGTAGCAAAAGGTTCATGGGTGGCCTTTTTGCATGGGAGACGTTATGTCTGGCCTGATGGGTCCAGTCCAACAGACAGGCTGCTGCCCCGACTCCCCCTTCTGAACACATTGCCACTTGCAGCATAGACTCACAATATCGAATCAAAGCTTAAATTAATGGTATAACTTTAGAATTGTGATGCAGTTACATTATACATTTAAGGGCTTATTCAGAAGTGTCTAGTCATTTATTTATGACATAATTATCCATCCATTTTCTCCCGCTTAGTCCTGTCAGGTTCATGGTGTGACCACTGCCTATCTCTTAAAGTGCATGGGCGAGAGGCGGGGTACAACCTGGATAGGTCGCCAGTCTGTCGCAGGGCAAAATAGACACATAACCACTCATGCACACACACACACTCACACCTAAGGACAATTCAGAGAAGCCAATTAACCTAAACAGTCATGTTTTTGGACTGTGGGAGGAAGCCGGCGTACCTGGAGAGAACCCACGCATGCTCAGGGAGAACATGCAAACTCCATGAAGAAAGACCCCGAACTTGCTGCAAGGCAACAGCCTCTGTGAGGCTTGATATAATCCTAAATACGTAAATGTTGCACTAAAATGAATCTTGTCTTCTCTTTTATCACTATGATCTTCAATATTCACACCTCCTGGTCATTTAGAATAGTAAAGTAAATCCAGGTCATGATCTATCTAATAAACATTAATCTCTTTCCCTCGACTTTATTGAAGGATAATTTTCTATCCACAAAAAAGGTACTTGCTTTGTGTGTAAATTAGCTAACTTTAATACATCTTTTTAATGTTGCTTTTGAAGTAATTCCCTCTTGTTTGTAATGAGGCTTTTTAAAGCCATAGTGGCAAACCGGGCTTACTTAATGACAATATCAACAGGCTCTTTACAACATCTTTTGCTTTTGTTCTGGGGTCATTTAGGCTTAAAATAAAACCCTGTCATTAGATTATAATAGATCTCACACAAGGAAGCAGTGTGTTGAGGCTTTTTCTTGGAATACATCATCTGGCCCTCCATTTAACTATTTTATTTTATTATATTACCAGCTGGGATTTCCCATAAGATGGAAATTTTAAGGAATGTTTGTGAACATCTAAATGGGAACAAAAATAAGAGCAAATTATTATTCTGACTCTGTGTAAATAAAGTGTAAATAAAGTGTAAATAAA